ATAAACAAAGATTGCTCTTCAATTAGATAATGACAGTATTGAAAAACATTTGTTGTCAGTGCCGCTCATAAACATTTGTTCTGTGTGCCGCGCATAAACATGTCTATATTTTTTCATCATCATAGTTGAAAAAAACATTGCCTTGCACCAAATACTGGCTAACGCGCAGTTAACGATGCTGCTAGAATAAAAGCAGATGAAAATCACAGTAAAGAGCAATAATATTATCAAATACTTCTGGAATGTCGGTACCAACCAGATCATTTAAGTTGGACTGCCCCGCCCACATTGTAGCATCTGTCGACAGGAAAAAAAGCAAGCTCGTGGTCCTGAAGCTTAACATGCAATACAACCATGAGATTTCTCCTGCTATATATGATAAGTACCCTGAGGTATGTGGTATGCTAGATATGGTAAAGAACATTCAATTCAGAAAAATGCACGAGTTCCAGAAGCAACTAAACAAGGACATAAATAGGATAAAAAGCTCAACGAAAGCCTTCATCCATGCTGACAAAACAACAAATCTCTATGAACTCGAGAAAACCCAGTACAATAAACTACTACAAAACAGCATAACCTCAACCTACAAGAAAACAAACCAGAACGCCATTAACACCATCAATCAAGAAGCTAAAAGCATAGCAACCGAACTCCACATCGATGACAGAACAGAACGCATAGCAGAAAGACCTTCATATCACTAAAGGATCACGAAGATCATTTCTCAAATAACCCAACCTGTAGATTAATCAACCCAGCCAAGAGTGAAATACGACGCGTAAGCAAGCAGATTCTCGAGAAAATTAACACCCATGTGAGAAATAAAACCTAACCAAACCTAACTAAACCTCCACTTAACCAATGGAAAAACTCGTCATCCGTAATCAACTGGTTCACGAACATACCCAACCAGCAGCAACACACCTTCGCCGTATTTGACATCGAAAGCTTCTACCATCTCCATATCTGAAGAACTGCTATCCAGCTCAATCCACTTCGCCAAGAAATACTCTAACATTACTAGTCGAGACATCAACATAATTATGCACTCTAGAAAATCCCTTCTGTTTAACAACGGCGCCCTCTGGGTAAAAAAAGACAACGACAGTATGTTTGACGGAGAAGTTTGGGAAGTTTTGACGGAGCAGAAGTATGCGAGCTAGTTGGACTATTTATTCTGAACAATTTATGCGACAAGTACGAAAAGGACAACATAGGACTATACAGAGATGACGGACTCGCAATTTTAAAGAACACCACAGGTTCACAGGCAGAAAGAACTAGACAGAGGGCACTCACGGAGAGTTCATACCTCCGCCGGCATGTACAGCACGAAAAGAGGAACACACGAAGACACGAAGACGATCGATCGACAACATGTACACGAAAACACAAACACACAAACAAACAAAATAAATCCCAATATTCTATACTTTACTCCATGCATTGATCACAACTACATGGCATCAAGACGGATGGACACCATATCAGAGTCTGAAAAGTATGCATCGAGAACCTCAGCAGCTACACCGACAGTTCTAGTTGCAGTTTCTAGTAGTTCTAGCTTGTAGTAGTGGAATCGCTGAAATATTGATTGTTGCGCGCAAGCGAGCGAGCTGCTGCTGCCTGGGCGTTCTAAGGCGAGCTGCTGCTGGCTGGCCGGCTTAAGGCGAGCTGGTGCTGAATCGATCGCGCTGCTGCTGCTGGCTCGCTGCTGGCTACACACACACACGAACATCACACGGGGGGGTTAACTCCGTTGCGGAGGTAATAAAGAAGGACATAACGAAATGCTTCAAAGAACACGGTCTGAACATTACCATACAAGCCAACCCGAAAGTAGCAGACTACCTTGACATCACACTTAATCTAACAAACGGATCATACAGCCCCTACAGAAAACCAAACGACTAGCCACTCTACATCAACACGAAATCCAACCACCCACCTACCATAATTAAACAACTACCCGCAGCCATCAACCGTAGGATATCAGACATCTCGTGCAGCAAAGCAGCATTTGACAAAGCTAAGCCCCCCTACGAAAAAGCTCTAAAAACAAGCGGATTTACCGAAAACCTTACATACGCCAGCCGCAACACATCTTCACTCGCAAGAAAGAACAGAAAAAGAAACATAATCTGGTTTCACCCTCCATACAGCCAAAACGTCCAAACTAATATCGGCAAAACCTTCCTCAACCTCATCCAGAAGCATTTCCACAAAGAACACAAATTCCACTCTATCTTCAACAAGAACAACGTAAAAGTCAGTTACAGCTGCACGGAAAATATAGCAACCATAATTAACAACCACAACAAGAAAACAACCAGCGACAACCCCACCCCCTCCCAGAACGTATGCAACTGCCAAAAAGAAGAACAATGTCCACTCGACAATAACTGCCTCTCAACCAGCATAGTCTACAACGCACGCGTAGCTACAGATGAAGACTTCACAGGAAAGAACTACATCGGACTTACAAAGAGAACATTTAAACAACGACACACTCAACACAAGCTATCCGTTCACGTGAGTTCGGCACCGTCTCTTTGACATCGAATAGCAAAAGAGTAGGGGTCTGAATAGCAACGACACCACAGTGGGATACAATTGCTCCACGGAACCTCACAAAACTATTTCCCTCGTCAATGTCGCAGACTGTCCCCTAAACCCTACTCTTTCGCTCATGAAGACAAGTGCTGCTAGTATCATTGCACCGTAACAGTGATGGTTCCGAGATGTCATCTTACGGTTCATCACACCATCTTCCACTGTGGCATGCACTCACATGTCAATCAAGGTTCCCCGATACGAGCTGACCATTTGAGAGATGGTCGCAATGCTGGCACATTGACCATCGGGGGCACAATCAATGCACAAACCGGAGATTGTGATGGTGACACAATAGAACTCATGAAGTATGTGGTTTATCTAATGACGGAGCAAGTTACTATATCTATCCCGGATAGAACCCTCATCTCACAAATGGTGACACTGTCCTTGGAAGATTTATGCAACGCAATTTTCGGGTGTTTCAGCACCGCCGATCTCCCGGCCTTTCCGTACAATGCAGGCCGAGTTGTGTACAGAGGCCCAGTATAGGAATATGCTGTTGACGATAGGAAAATCATACTGATAACCGGCGAGCAACAAGGCGCATTAAAAGATAATCTGTAACTTTCCGCTGTCAAAAACGAACGAACGGTCTCTTTATTATACTCTCAGTGACACGCATTCATTGGAGTACGCGGGCGCGATGGACCTGGCCCTCTATTTAGGCGCGCATGTCTTATTTACATTACATGGCGGCGAGAGAAGAGACAGAAGAGAACAGTTAGGAGAGTGAGGCCGCGCACAACGCGTGCAGGCGCGGGTGGACACCATCAGTAGTTCAGGCGTGGCATGTAGCAACACGTAGTTATCCTAAGTAGTCCTACGTAGTCAAGTCATGTAGCTCTATACGTAGAATAAATCATCTAGTCTGTTACAACAAAGACATGTTATCTTTACTGTGATCTTCATCGTCACTCATCATTACGTCGCACGAGAGACAAAGAGAAGCTGACATCCTTCAAGTGGAAATGCAAACACGAAACGAACAACGAACTGGGTTTGAAAATTAATAGTCAGGGTTCTCCCTACGTTGCGCAAACGGGGCGCGCGCGCCCCGTTTGGGAAAACTCCCCCCTGTTTGAATCGTTGCGCCCCGTTTAAATTACCTCCGCCCCGTTTAAATTCCACCACAATAAAAGTTTGCCAGCGCGCGAATCGACCGTCAAGAATTGCCGTTCGACCAGGACATCCGACGCGTGTATTTTTACCGTACCACGCATGCACTGCAGACAGTACACAAGTTAACCTGACAATGCACAGTTAACCTGTAACCAACTGTACACCGACTCGGCTATCTTATAGTTATATATACAAGAACCCCAAATACCGTCTATGGTGTGGTGGC